ATGACGAAATAGTTGCACCTAAATCTAAAATATTCTTTTTCATCTGAAAAAATTTTTTTATGAATATGTGATTGTATAAAAATGTTAATTTATTTCTATAATATCTAGCATATTGTAACAGGAAGTATATTTTTATAAATGTATAAAAAATATTATGGTTAGATGTAGGCTTGAACAAGAATTGATAAAAATATTTTAATACTTCATGCGAACTCTAACTATTCTTTTAATTAAAAAACTAAACATAAAATTGTCATTCTGATGAAATTACAATTGACTATTATCAGTGAAATCTATTAATTTTCAGTGTATGAAAAGTTTTTATCTAGATGTTACCAAAATTAATAATGTAGGATATTATTAGAAATGCATTGAATTGTACGTAGTTCCAAAATAGCAGTGCTAGTATTAAAATAAACATTTATAGTTTTTTAAAATAAATTTCAAAAACCTTTTGATTTCAGTTTCTTATAAAAATTCAGACCTGTCGCCTTATTCTTCTCTCTTTGAACAACTTTTATATTCCTTTGACTAGTTTCCCAGAGCAGAAAGATTGTAATGATTCCAGCCCATACAATTATATCTAAGTTTTAGTATAAACCTATAAAAAGTAGTCTTCTTTCTGTTAATCAGTACATAACACCTTGGCCAAGTTATTTGGTTTTTGTTCAAAATAAGTGCTCGATTTTCCGATTCACTATTTCTGGATATGAAATGAATAGTATGCGGATTAGCAAATAAATAAATGAAACTGCATCATTCACGAATGTTCAGAGTAAACTTTCTAGCCTAGTCATTGAGTTGATTTTTTTTGATTGAAACTGTTACCATGGAAATCTCGTACTTTTGAGTGAAACTGTGGAGTTTATTGTTCTACAGTCTCAAACTGACGTTCACAATATATTTTTCTTCATCATTCATTCATTTTTACACAATTTTGATAATACGAAGTATTTAAATCTCTCTTCACTATCAGGTCAGCAAATATATTTTCAGTGATTTTGCACTGCCTAATCTGTGTCTTAATGAATATCCTCATTCGAGTGTTATAAACTAGTACTTAAAAAAATGCAAAAGATCAACCGTAATTGAATCTAAGTAGTTGAAAATCAGTAAGAAAAAATTATTTTAATAATTACTGAATAATTTAGTGTTTATAAACTATCCAGCCATCTAACTTGATAGGAAGAAAGTTAAATGTATGAAATATTTTGTTTTGTCCTGGTTCCTAAAGCCAATTATGTATCTGTCATTATTATTGTTACAGTGATGTTTTGAAGAAATTATCTCTAGGTTTAAAAGATATGTATGAGTCTTTACAATTATTAATAAATTATTTATTTATATAATAATGAGTAGATACACATAAAATATTGTTTGTATATACTATAGTTACATGATTACTTTAATAAGTATGTGACTTTCGATTTGAGTATGAAAATTTCAACTGAATAAAATGTGCTATTAAATCCAAGAAATTAATCCATAGACGGAATCGTATCAAGCTGCTCTGTAATTAATACCAGCTTATTTAAGGCAATGATGCAAGCTATTTACCTTTATTCAGTCTTTAAGTATATATATATATATATATATATATATATATATATATATATATATATATATATATATATATTCCCACCCTTTCTGTATCTTCTGGTGGTCGACTGGATTATGAAAACCTCGACCATCTCAGTGGAAGCACGCATTACAATCGTTAGTTAGACGATTCGAACTTTGGAGATGACCTAACTCTACTATTCTATTCACAGCAATAAATGCAGGTCCCATGAAGATATCATAGAATGATAGTGACCAATAGAAAGGAACACAAGTTGTGAGAGATTCGCGAATCTCTGTGCCTTCAACAAAATGAATACAGATGGGACAGTGCTCCCTCACAAATGCATGCTCAAAGCTAGATCGGTTTCAATGTACTACTACCACAGAGAATCAAGCCGATGATATCTGCATTAGTCAGGAGTTGAGAAGAATTTCTGGAACTCAAAACGACTGAAAAACATTACCAAAGTCAGAATTTTTAATACAAACGTCAAGACATCTCTTTTCTATGGAGGGGAAATTCGGAGAACTATGAAATGCATAATACAGGTGTTTATTACCAATTTTCTAGGAAAAATACTTTGGATCTGTTGACTAAACAATATCAGCAACAACCTATTGTGGTAGAGAACAAACTAGATTCCAGTTAAGGAAGAAATTAGGGAAAAGGACCGGAGTTGGATCGGATACATTACAAAAACCACTCAAACATATCACAACGCAAGCCTTCGCTTGAAATCCTCAAAAGCTAAGGAAGAGAGGAAAACTAAAGTGCAAACTGCACCGGAAATTGGAAGCATGAAGGATGAGCAACATTTGGAGAAAAGTTGATATGAGAGCCGGAGACATAGTTGTTTCGAGAATGTTGTTCAGCGGTCTATGCTCCATTAAGGGTGACAAGAATAAGTAAATAAGTAAGAACGTAATACAATCAGCATCGTTTAGGCATATCGTTTTTCAAAAGTGTTGCTCGCCCGTGTTCTCAAAGTATTGATGCTTATTAATGCTGTGTCATTACGATAGCAAACCGTGTAAATAAGTATGAGAAATATCACTTTTCTATTCTGTTTCCTAAGAATATATAAAAACAGTAATGACATAGCTTGGCAGATAGCTGAAGTGAAGTGAATGCATTTTTTTATTTGTAACTTTACCTCACACCGTAAGAGTATGTGTACTGAATTATTCATACATTCTGATCCATAAATAATGAATATGGTCGATAAGTGCCTAGGTTGTATTATTTCGAAACTGATCTTTTTTCAAAATCGATAAACAAGAAATGTTTTACAACTAAGAAGTTAAATGAAGCATATTTTTTAACATAATTTCGATAGTGACTTGTGGCATAGCTAATGGGGAAATTAGTGCTTTTAAAGATTTTGGCACAGAAAATCCATAAACAAATGAAGCTGTAGACAGAATAATTTTTTTCCTAAAGCGCCTTTATAAGTTCATAGTGCCAAAAACGAGAGTGTGATTTGTTCATACAATAGCTTTGGGTAAAACATTTTTACTCCGTGTCGAAATTCTCCCCTAGTTTTGCAATATATGGAATCTGGAATATGCTAAATATGTAATAAATGAATCTCTGTAAAAATATTTGTATTTTTACGAGGATCAATAAGCTGAAGAATTTTTTAGTAGCATGGGTCGTTATACAAACAATTAAAATGCTAACAAACGCCTTATCTTGAAAAATATATATGTCTTTACTAAATTCATGTCTAACCCTCTGAAGTTGATCACTTAAGCATAAAATCATTTTTTACACATTGAAAACATCAATCAATCACTGTTCAGTATGTAAAAACACTAATCTCCATAACTCTAATTGAAATAAGAATAAAGTCATTTATCAAAGACATTCCCTAAATACGTAAAATTCATTTTAAGCCCAGTTTGACTTCAGGAATAGAAGCTGATAATAGAATTACTGCATAGTAGATTAAAAAAACCGAGTATATGAAGCAAACAAGAAATCAACTAAAAATAATTTGTATAGTCCTAACTGATACTTAACTGTTATAGATAATCACTATGGTGTAGAAACTGATGAGTTAATTTTTGGTATTATTCGAGTGAAGCTCTAAAGTCCAGATGGCGATGATAAAGTCAATCCATTATAAAAATTTGTAATGGTCATTACAGTCTTGTAAGCGCCTTTTAGATAGAAAGCTGTAATGTCAAATTATTAGCTAGGAAGACTTTTGAACTTGTCACGAAGAACATTCTTTTCAATAGTCATATCTTATTATTCTATAACACATGAATCAGTAACTATGAGAAAGAATTATTTGATTCAGTTAGTAGAAAGAGAGTAATAAATAAAGCACTTAAAAAACGGACGGTTAACAGTTTTTATTAAGTGGTCAAATATGACAATTCCTTTTCATATAAATGTACTTACTGACACAACATCTTCCCTAAGAGGTTTACATTAGAGAGGATCCAAAGATAAAATCAATTTTTACCCTGAATTTCTTCGTAATGACAGAATACTAGTCATTCATTATATATTCAAACAGCTAAGCATCACTTTATACATTCATCAAAGGATATGTGTGTCAAATTAAGAATAACTGTACATTTACATTCATGAGTTTTGGTTTTTCAGTACAGTCATGAACAAATGCAAGAGCACTATAGTGACCACTTTACGAATAAAAATTTAAATGCTCTGATATTTTGTTTCACGAAACCTTAATGTAAACTCAGCGATAAGTATAACACATTCTTTATAAATAGAAAACTCACTAAATTAACAATGGTTACTAAGCAAAGCGGTTTAGTTGCATGATGAAAACGAGAACTGCTGTTGAGTAATAAATTCTCTAGCTTTCGCAAGACACAATAAAATGAATAAACATAGATATAGTTTACTTCCGTCTCCTTTATATTGGTAGCCTAATTTAACACAGTTCTCACAGTTAATTCAGTCATAGTGATGAAAACCATTTATTCGAAGGATCGCATTTACAGAATAAAACTCTAAATCCAAAATCTTCTACCAAAACATGTTTTCTCAATTTTTATGCATATCATTGAAAAAACCAATGACCAATTTATTAATAAACTTAATTGATTGATTGCTCTACACTGAAATCAAAAAGCAATCTATTTTATTAATCAGTTTCGTTAGTCCTTCAACCAGTTTACTCATTCTAAACGTTTAAATTTTTGTACCACAAATTTTAAAAAAGATTTATTATGAATCGCTAAAAGAAAGATTTTGAAAGGCAAAAGAGATATTAGAGATAATGCAATCAAATACACAAGTCATGAATGCGAAAACAATTTAGCAAAAACTACAAATGTACAATTATTCAAAGTTCAAAATTTTATTGCGAAATATGGATTTGTCTCTACAAAAACAATGGGGAATTGTTTTATAGTATTTATCCTAAAAATAATGCTATACAGATATACAAGTGGATTTAAGTTAAATACAAAAACCAACAACATATCAACATTGACTGACGAAATATAAAACAAACGGACAGACTTAATTGTTTAATAAACGTCCAATACCACCAATTACTCGGAATTATGGAAAACTGTACAAGATTAAGAATCTCCTCAACTATTTTGTTTGTAGTAATAAAATTTGTTTCATTAGTGGTAATAGTATTAGTGTTTGTAACTAAAACCTCAGGAGTAACACCATGGGAATTATTTATACTGCCGGCAGTATTTCTGTTTGTCATATTATGATGACCATTTGGATAGTCAGGAAAACAGTTCAAAACATATTCATTTTCTAAAATCAGTAATTGTGGATTAAAAAATTTCATTATAAGTAGACAAAATTGATTTGTAATCAAACTAATCATTAACATTGTAAAAAATGTTGGTTTGGTAATTCGATGTATAAAGAATTTTACCATGATTAATGGAATGTACATAATTTCAATACCATTTTCGATCATTTCTAAGCAAAGCGTAAAAAGAATGAAGTATTTTAAAAATAATTCTTGTTGGGATATTTGATGATATTGGTAAGTGGTATAAGTCTGTTCAGTGGCACGAATTGACAATGAATTACTTTCGATGGATGTATTAAAAAAAGAAGAATAAGTATCAAACTCTTGGGTGAATGAATCGGTAAGGTTTATTAGAATCTCAATAACTTGCATTAGATTAAAGCATATCGAACCAGTTAACTGAAATAAAAGTAGAAAAGATAGTAGGTTTGATTTTATCCAATTGAAATTTTTTAAGATATTACGAGGATAAGTTGAACTTCGTTTTGATCGAACATTATGAGTTGAAGAATAAACTAATAAAATTATTTGTGAGATTGTAAATACTAAAATTAGAAAGTAACTAAAGTTACACAAAACTATTTGTCGATATTCACTTAACTTATAGGCAAACAAATTTATAATACAGATGATCACAGATAAAAGACTGAGTAACCCACAGATACAAGAATTTCTTTCACAACGGCGATAGAATCGGTTAGTGAAAATTGACGTTGATCGCGAAACTGAAGAAGAAATTACTGCATTTACATGATGTATAGGTGTTAATGAACAGCTTTCTTTTTCCCAATGAACAAGACGATTTTTCTTGTGCGTATCGCCAGAATCTTGAAGATTTTTAATCAGTCTTCGAGAGTTCCAACTGATCCAAATTAGAACTATTTTCATAGAAATGGTTTAAAAGCCAATAAAATGAGAACAAAAGAGATTATTTTTGTTAGCAAATATAAAATATACATTTTCTTCAGTCAGTAAATTTTCTGTTTTTATATAAAATAAAAAACTCAGCTTCCGATTTCTATCGAAAGAGTAAAAATCCCTTTACCCATAATTATTTTTCTGACAGACAGCAGTAAACACTAAATGTTAATTTCATTCAATAAAATCACTTAGTCAAATAATGTAACGATAATATCTAAGTCCCTTTCATTGAGTGACGTTAGAAAGGTAATTTTCCCATTATTCTTTAACCAATCATCTTTCTAGTAAAAAGATTCTTTTGAAAAAGATTTTTATTCTCTTTGTTTAGAAACTAATGAAAACCCGGTTCCCTAAATTGTTTAGAATATATTATTTTTATTAAAAACTATCATCTTTAGAGCAGGCTGTCGAGAATGGATGATAGTTAACATTTTATGGATAATCTTCATTTTGAGGATAGGGAAGTTTAGAGATAAAATGTAAAATTAACTCAATTCTTAATTCACTTCTCGTAGTAAGGGAAAATTAGTCGCCCCATCGAATAAGTGGTTGCTAAAATTACATTTCATATTTAATCAAACCAATGTAAACTTGAACGCTAGTAATTTTCAGCAGCTTTCAAATTTTGTCAAAACTTTCATTTAGTTATCCTCAGAATATTTTTAACATGTAATGATTTAGTGTTATCAAGAGTGGTTATCACATAAGATTTCTCACTCTTATTTAATTGAGCCTGTACATGATCACTTTAATAACCAAATTATTCAATGTGAGATCATCAATAAGGTTTTATTATTAAAAGTTACTAATGCGCATCATTACACCATGGAATAGATAAAACAGTCGAGGACAAAACAACAGAAACATAATTATTGTTTATTTAGGCGGCAATAAATAAAACCTGCCATCATTAATCATTTTAAATAGACGGGACTATAATAAAACTCACGTAAAATTGTATTTTTTGATGAGCATAGTAGTAACTAACTTACCTACAACCAGAAGATGTGAATGAGCGACATAATTCAGAAGATAGGCTACTGAACTTCGCATAACCCTCATAACCGGTAATTTATTAAAGTTCCCTAAAAAATGGCAAAAATTTAAACTCATATACATCATAATAACATATTCGTATGTGGATATATGATAAAAAGTTCACTATTTCATCATGGCAAATTATATTTGGTCGGAATCGAAAAATAATTTAGCTACTTAAATTTTGTAAGTAGGCACGCTTAAAATAGAGAATTTTAAATTATTTTTTTATACATAGCAAGCATTCAACTGAGTATTACTCATTCAAACATAAAATTTTTCACGAGAATAAATATTCAGGGGCAATTTAAAAAAAAATTTTCGTACTAATATCGTATACTTTTCAAGCCGCAGAGATTGTGATAACGTAAACTACTCCAAATTTATTGTTCACATTGTGATCACATATTGAACAAACGCGTTGAAGAAGAATACATAATCTTCAGCCTCATAATTCTTGTATGCATATTTAGAAGTAACTTTAAACCCATGAAAGTATATGCTCTCTCTACATGGAATCTGAATCTATCTTTATCAAAAACATTCATGAAATTGTTTTTGAAATAACACATACACAATTTATAAAATATTCGTTTTCATATTCATAGGAACGCTGGTATAAATTTTTACTGATAGAATTTAATGGACAGTGAAACCTCTAACAAAAGCAAATATCACAACACAGTTTATTAGCAAAATCATCACTTGTTGTCCAAACAGCTTTAAATACTGTTTTGACATCCATTTGGCTAAAGTAATTCTACAAATACTTTCAAACTTATTGGGCAGAAAAAGTCACTCATTTGGCAAAGTAATTTAACTTATAGTGGAAAGCTATCTACAAAACTTAATATCAGCTGGGCCATAAATACTTTTTACTTAACTTCCACTCAGTAGTGAAACGTACATTTATTGACAGAAACGCATAAATTAGTTTGCCAAGTTTAATGCTAATGTTCAGCACTGAGTTCTGATTATTATTCTTTTATTTCCCTTATCTTTGATAAGGATAACATTTATCTCTAAAGATTTCTTCCATGAAGCAGAACATAAAATTATAAGTCAGCTGACCTAGACAAACAAAATAATTTGTATGTTGCTTTTATTATTATTGGAAATATAAACGAATTTTATGATTATTTTAGTAGAAATAAATACTAAGTATTCTACTTGTTAGCAGATTAACACAAGTATGTAAATAGCATGATCAAGGGTCGAAACACTGTTATTTACCTTTCATCTTTTTCACTATCGATTTTCGTCTTTAATTATGAGATTTACCAAAATACAGAAACGTAACACTATTAAGTGACTTAAAAATATAAGCCAATAGAATTAAAAATTGAAAATTAAGTTCGATAAGTTTCATTTTAGATAACGTATGTACCAATTATTATCGGAGCTTGTTCCAATGATAGAAAAAAGGTCAGCAATTAATTAGGTTCCTCTTACATAAAATTAACTGTACCGTCAAATGTATAGTTCATTCTACAAGGGACTGCACTGATGACTTAATTCTTTCAAAGTTTTGATTTCCAATATGAAGGGTTACATATGGAAGTCAAAACAAATAAATCATTCCATTGAGCAGCGATTAGATGTGACCATCTCCTGTTATTTCCATACTATGTTAATTTTCTCTCGTCTTTATTTACAGTTATTACCGTATGTACTTTTTAACTTCTATTTAATTGACCTTTATTAATTTTCAGATTAAATGTCTTGACAAGTATGTGTGACCAGATTATTTGCAATGTTTGGCGCAAAAACATCACATTTTTCAGATCAACTACGTCTTTTCATTTATCTATCAAAATAGCTAGATAAAATTTGGTTTCATTGTCGTAAATCAAATTTATCGCTTGATCGTTCAAATAACAGATCATATGTCAGTCTGCAGGGATAGAAAATCTTCAGTCATCGAAGTCTGAAATTCTTTTTCGTTAGCTAGAAATATAGAGTCAGTAAGATCTTATTGATACTATAACGTCGTTTTTAGGATGTATCTGTACTGTCCTTAAAAAATTACTGATTGTCTCGATGGATAGGACACTAAAAGGTGAAGTACTTTAAGTCGTTTGTTAGTACAGAATAAAATCCAAATATTTGGCTAACAGCAGTGTACAGTTTTAGAAGAAACACTAACTTATAGTTGTACGATCTAATATTATTCAGGTAATAATAGAAACAAATGATACTGAACAAATTTAGCTCCTAGATGTGATTCTAAGATTAAAAAACTGCAGATTGTTTTTAGATTGAACCTAAGTTTAGAGACATTTAACTTTCAGTAATACAGTATGCTGTAATAATATTATTTTATGAATATGGTTTGACTCCAAAATTAATTTTAAGTAAAGTTGAAGCAACAATTTAGCTGTTCCTGTTTCAAAGCTGATACAACTAATAGAGTTGTAAACTAACCTGATGTACTTCTAATATCATATGTTTTGTTCAGACTATATTCACGATAATGTCTGAGATAATTTTCGGTCCCTATGAATGCCATGTAAAACCAACCAGTTAGATTGATGGCTATTATGTGAACAAACAGCAATCCATTTCTTAGCCTCAAAATTTTCGGAAAAATCTGTGGTTTAAAATTAGGAAATGAAATGAAAGAAGAACTAAGATTGGAACACAACAACACTTAACTTTTTATATAAAAAGCAAATTGTACCATATAAACATGTACATATTTTGTAGGGTTTTACGTCTTTAGACAAAACGACCAAAAACAAACATATAATAATACTAAAATGAGCCGTAAGCAAAGCTTTGTGTTGTAACCACATCAAACTGTCAGAGTGACACATCTTATTCGTAATGTCTAAATTTGACAGACATCTCAATGGTAAAAAGCTCATTGTTTTACCATAAAGATATTCTTCGGTGAGTAGTTGTATGTCTTAGTGCCACTACAAGTGAAGAAGACAAACGGAAATAGCGAAGTTTACCTATATTCATAGCAAGACTTCAGCAAGAGTTATCTGGCTTGGACTGACATGACATTTAAGATAAGAGGAGAAGTTAATCTTCCAAACTCCTAATGCATCTAATTCTAAGAATATTGAGCTAATGTTCACTTAACCTACGGTTTTCTGGTATATATATAATTTTATTCATAGACTTTCTATAACATTTGATATCATCCATTTTCACTCGAACATTTCGCAGTTCACAAATGTCCAAAGGATTGAAGTATACTTTTAATTATTCATAAAAGAAAATTGGGAAGACATTTCATCGCCTGAAATAGGTTATATTTATATCTCAGCTAATAATATAATTGTGTTTGGAGTCTAAAGTATTTTTTATAATCACTTCAGTTAAGCTGCTCTTTTTATCACTGATAGTATCATTTAATTAAAACAATTAGTGCTTTCAATAAATTATGATAACACAGTAAAACAGTTAAGTTTATCAGAACTATCTGATAACATGGTGCAGTAGATTTCGAATAATCTTGTTCAGACATTTATAAATGAAAAACATTATTAATCATATCATTATACATTGTAATACAGTTCGGCAGGATCGATTCAAGGTGTGAACAAGCTATTTGTATAAACACAACATCATAAACTTGGATATTTGAGCCTGGATATTTATGTACAGCATCAAAAGGATTGTCTTGTTTCAACTGAATCATTAGCAATAGTGGAAGATATCTTATCTATCAAGTGCTCTTAGATCACTGGAATCCACTCATTATCTTAACTATGTAGATACGTTTTCAGCCACTAACATGATCACATTAAATTTGCTCCCAATAATGTATACCAGTCTATTTTTAAATAGTAACTAAATCTTTTAACCAAAACGCTGAGGTAGAGTCGGCATTCAATACGGTTCAGTAATTGGTAGAAATATCTTAAGACTACTCTGGAAATACTGAATTACTATTCAAATATTCTTTATCGCATCTTCCAGTGTGTCAAGTTAGACCTTTTATATGTTAAAAAAGTAAATACGTGGTCAAACTATCCTAAATTTGCGATACTAACATATTGCACAGTTCTGATAAACATCATCTTCATTGCTTTATTCTAGTTACTACCAATCTATTCCATTTATAAACTTGAATAAAGGAAGAACAAATATCTGTTACGATATATTTGTTCTTTATTTGTTACAATTATGTTTAGAAACAATTTTAGTTTAGTTATGGTTTATCATAATACCAGAAGATTAGTTTCTTTAAATAATTCAAATAATGGTGTTCGTTTCAATAAATTTACTTTACAACTGTTTCACGAAGACATATATTTCGAATAAGAAAACTTTGTAGACAACTTACCTTTTTTAGTTTAATCATCACTGGTATTTGTAAGACAAGTAAAAGAATCCACAATACATTGTTAATTAGTTTTAACCAATTTATGAAAGTGATCTGGTGAAAATCGTCACTTTTATATAAATGATTAATTGTTATATTTGTCACAGGATTGATTAATGTGCATTTGAAGACAGTAGCATAACTATTATTTTGATCAATAATGTGTAAATTATTTGTATGGACAACTGAACCATGTTTAGTTATCAAGGTATGTTGATTTGACAAATTGTTCTCAGCAAAAACAGTAGACTTTATCCTCAAAGGATATTTATTCTCATCTCCATGAATCTGACCAACAATCCCATCTGTAATATGATTTGTTTCATTTTCTTTCAAATTCATATGATCTGGAGAATTCCAAATACTCATATTGGTACTAAAAAATTTAATTATTCTGCCTCCGTAATACATTATACTTATTAGGGTTCCAACTAAAATGATTCAAACGCAAAGTGAAATATTTCGAAGATATAAACAAATGTTAAAACAAATAAGTGATTGTTATAGATTTGTATTAAGTGAAATAAAAGAAAACACTTTAAAACGGGAAATAGATAAAAAAATATTTAGTGGATATATTAATTACACACGTTATGTCTAACTTTCTACACAAAATATACCATATTTTACAGAAAATAAAAATTTCAATTATCCCTAAGTTCTCCAGTGCACTTTGCTCAAATACTATCATTAATTTATCTTTTTAAAAGTGTTTTAATCCATATCAGGAAAATATACGGAAATAAATGTTTCATCATACCTACCATTTTTATCATTTCTATTTTTTAGTACTAACTAATGATTTAAAAGTAGTTTCATAAAACATAAATTAAAAATTTAAGAATTTATAATTATTTATTAATGAATTTGAGTAACTTACCATAAAAGAATCCTTGAATAACATATTCACATTGTGAAATTATCCTGGAAGGAGTTTGAGCTTCTTTCATGTCTGTTAAATATGAAGTATTTTGATTCATGTCATGAAACTGTGACTTTAAACTATTTTTACTACCAATGGTCACAAGTTGATGATACTGTGAATTATCAGGCTGAGAAATGAAATTTCGTCGCATAGGTGATGATGTTTCATTACTTTGATTTTTCATATATATTTGGCTGTTGTCACAGTGCACAGGCTGATTATTTCGTTTCTGATACACTTTAACTAGATTCCGTCTGCGAGTGAATAACTGATTGGTTATACGCTTTTTACCATAAGGAAAATAATGCTGATGTTGCTGTTTATTACCCAAAAAACAGAAATCACAGTAGGAACGGCAAACATTGAAATATGATGTAGCATAGAAGCTCAGGAAATGGAGGAGTTGCCCGATTAAAAGAAAGCTAAGGAAAACCTGAATAATGACAAAATTAAACAAAAACATTTAGTGAAACTAAAAATTTCTGCATTTTCAAAAACTTTAAATCATTTTATTCTAAATGGTATACTCAACTCGACTTTCTAAAATTTATGGATTGTTAGGTTTGATCTTTTGTCAACGACTATTCTTCTACTAAAGAAAAGACTGAATGGGCACCAGATCAGTGAAGAGAACACGGAAACCATAAAGTGTGAAACTCTGAAGCAACTACAGAGACTGAAATTGTAGAACTTTCAGAAGTATTTTGAACAATAAGTCTATTAATAGAATCGATTCAACATCGTAAACAGGATGTACTTTGAAGGGTGAGAACTTATATACCCGATATTACGTAAAATCAACATTGTATGACATTAACTTGTACATATGTTGAACTGGCTGGTATCTTTACCTTAACATTCTAAGAGAATATTCTTCACAGAATATATAATATTTGTCGGTCAAGAAATAATGATAAAGTTTTTCAAGTTTCTGGTTTTTTATTAACATAACTAACTCAGCGCTTGAATCATCAAAGAATCAATTTATGAAAAGAATCGCGAATATAAACATTTTGATTAATAGAGATAAACCAAACTAATTAAATTTTGTTGCAAAAATTAAGACAACATATCAGTAACTCTGGTTATTCATATTAATCAGTTTATACGAAGTAATAATTTGAATGTAACGAATCAAATGTTTTATGAACTTTTTAGATACATCATTTTTAGCTCTTTTATTGAGGATAAACTCAACAACTTTAATATAAGTTCATCATTCACTTCAGTTTTATTTCTAACTTTATTTTATTTCATTTCATCACAGAAGTTAAATGTGATAATTACTCTGGAGTATAACAAACTGTTTTTTTAGTTACTCTAAAGGAAGTAAAAAGGAAAAATTATTGTTAAAATGCTATCGTACAAAAATATCACTAGAATGATAGAATCATAGTTTCTCGTACACGTTATCTGTCTTTATTTAACTTGCCTCAAAACGTTCTGATATAGCCAAAGGTGAGAATATTCCTCTCTCCCTCTCAAAATCCTATAATATATCCACTGCCACTGCCATGGAAGTCCTACTCGTTGCCTTCTAGTGGCAAAATAAATATTTTGGTTTGAAGCAGTTAGTTCACTGATTTTTACTAACTGTGGACAGTTGGTTAATCGTCTGTGGTAGGATATGATCTCCTTCGTAAAATATGTGCCATATAAAAATTTATATTTTTACTCATTCTTCTCTACCAAATATCTAAGGTGCGTGTAGTGAATAGATTTAAACAAGGGTTACATGTCATACTTATTTCGTAATTCGTTCTATAGCCACAATTCATAAAATGTACTGACTCACTGGTTTCTGTGGAGCAACTTTAAAATGGGACAATTCATCTGCATTATGATAAAAGAGTAAAGTATCTGAACATAGATTAAATTCTACTTATTTAAGCAAAGTATGAAGAGAGTATTCTATCTACATGAAATGAATCAAACAAACAAATGTAACAAATATAACTCACTTCTAAAAGAAGTGATTTCGACTTCTTTCCATTCAATTGTATACATATTAACAGAAACCCGACACTGGTCAATAAAATCCCGTATATTATTTCTATCATATTGTTTACATATCTACTAAATTATTACGACAACAAAAATAAATAAATAAATCATCAGTAGTTTGATTCGAATATTATATGAAAACAATATATGTTACAAAATTTAAAAAATACCTTAGTAATATGTTGTGTAAATTAAGCAATGTTAAAGAATTCAGTATCGACTCTAAATGATGCGAAATGTTACTTAAAAGTGATAAAATTACAGCGATTCTGTAGCGTATAAATTAGACCTATAATAAATGAAGTTAAACGAATGGAAAAGTTTTATCAGGTATATCTTTTTAGTGTTTTTAAAGTTAGACTAATTTATTTATTTAACACCCACAAATCTGATTATAGCTGAAAATTATGATAATGGACTTATTGAAAAGATAATCTTTCAGCGAATATTCCCTTGTGTTAATGAAACAAACATCACACTTCCCAAAATGAAACTGAATAGCTGTTTCTATCATTGATTACATGTCGTTAAAAAAGTTATAGTTTTCTATTAAAATATCTAGCAATGCAACAGTACATTAAGATAGTTAGCCTTTATTAGGATATGATCATTCTGTTCTCCTGATATTAGGTAGACATAGGTGATGTGCAGACATTATTTAAGTGATCAAACTTCGGTTGAAGGTTGTAGGTGTAGGTGATGATCACAGATATTCACTTCTCGTTTATCGCAGTATTGGAAAACAAAAGGCAAGGTATGCAAAATATCAAGTAAAAACTTGTTGGTTTCGAAAATTCAATATTAAAGTATGCTATTATTTCAAATAATTTATTTTGGTGGATCAAACTTCAAGCCGTATTATCATGACTTTCAAACCGTCACGCTGAAATCACCCCAGAAGCTTACAATCAATATACATAGCTCATATTCACTGCTCAATTGTTGTTTTAATCATACTGATTATTTCATTTTCATGTTATGGTAAAGAAATAGGTTATGTGTACACAGATAATGATAAACCTTTTACATAACAAGCTCAACTAAAAGTTTTTTTTCCTACATCTATATTCGTAATGACGAACAGGCTAGTAATAGATATTAAATATGCTAAGTTCATGAAGTGTGTAGAAAATCGTTTAATATGAGTACATAATAGTGTGTCCAAGTGACTGCTGACTTTTCCATATGCTGAAAATATTATGGATATCTAAAACTTTTCTGTTCTTTCTTCTCTCGACTAACAGCTTTATCAAACTGGTAATTTTCAACATTGTTTTGGATCTATACACCCAAAATGATGCAACGCCAAAACTTAAAAAAGGTGTATAACGCTATTCAGAAAACTGAGGTATTAAAGTAAAAAATATAGTTGTCAGGGAGTGAATTCAAAACACTTCTGATAAGTTAATTTGTAACTACCATTATTTCAGCTGCTTTGAGTTTCAATCTCCGAAAAGTCATTGACATCTCTAAGTTTGTTGACACGTATCACAGAAAATTGGCACTTATTAAGTGACTTTAGAACGCTAAACTACCATCAAATAAAAAACTGGATGTTAACTTTGGCTACTGTCATTCCGTTCGTGATGCTAGTTATAAACCAGATTTCTACTAGTAATACATGATTAGATTTAGTGATAGATGAAACTATATGTTACACAAGTCACAAGATACCAAGCTTGATAAATGTGAACTAGAAATATAATAAACTGTCCTACATATAAATCTGAGTTCTCAATATCTTTTGTATATTCATTTGTATTTTGTTTCGAAATCATATCGCTCTGTACTTTAAAGTTGTACTTAAATATCACAATTAATGTCAATTTTTACTCAATAGCAAATATCCTGTTTTTACATGTGGACATTAATATATAGCAAAATAAGTTTACCACACACTTCAGTAGGACAATTCAGATATTCTAAACAAAATCAGAAAATATACCAAGGGAATTATTATAAATGATATAGAATCATGTAGGAAATAATGGAGTTCGATAATGCATTATCTTTTGTATCTTGCTGTTTGTCTTCAAAAGTTTCATTAACACTATTTTACGTAACATTTAGGATGAACTAACTTATTTAAATAACTGGCCTAACCTAATGAACAACACAGAGTATTTTAAACGCCAATTCTGATCCTCACCATTTATAACGGAGGAAAATACTTAATTTATCCAAAGAAGCGTGGTCAACAGAGAGAGAACTATTTTTTTCTGGAGAAACATTGCTTTTATTGGGAAATATATTTGATACTGAAATATGATTCAAAATTCCTTCGAAGTCATTGACAGTAAGCTATCAATTTTTCAAGACTGATTAAGGAATAGACTGTTACTACACACCTAATCTTATTTTCCGCCTTTAAATTTGTAAATTAGATTGTATCGTATATTCTGGTCAACATGCAACTTCAACTATTGTTAACCGTTATTCTTTATGGAAACACTAATCTGTAAAATACTTTGATGAAAGTCATGATAAAATGAATAAATGAAATTCAACTTAGAAAGTAAGAAAATATAACAATCACACTAAGAATCATTCCGGTGCAAGATACTTTCATTTATCACGAGAGGTATTATAAAAAATGATTTGTCTACTGTCTACTATCAATCATTTGAGAATTAAGTGATATAGAAAGAAAACGCAGTCAACGAATTGAATCAACACGGAATTAAATGCTCAAACCTTCAAAAAATATCAGTCATTTAATCAATCAATCAACCCAGTAGTCAGTCAGTCAATCAACTAGGTGGTTAGTTAACCAATCAGCAATTGTTCTATTATATCACTTTTTGTTAGATTTTTTGAAATTTGTAAATTTGAAAATAAGGCTCAAGAATTTTAGTGAATATATTTTGGAGGAAAACTTAAATTATTGTCTATCCTGATATAGCAAGTTTTATGATAAAATAAATTTTATTTTTCAGTTTTGTGAGAAAAATCAAAATGACCTAAAGGATGCTCATTTTGAAAATGATTGTTCAAATTACAATCAAAATCCAAAACAGGTCAATGGTTTATCACAATGAAATGTTTTGGCAGCTACGATATTATTCGTATAAAAATCTAATGTTGATTGAACCTTGAGAAAATATTATGATCAGATAATCTGGTAGGATTTGTATGCGTGACTTTCTATTTATCACAGCTGTATTTTTATTCTATAGAAAA